GCGCCACTGAAGGGCAGCGTCTCCTTCCCCGGCGGCGGCGCAATCAAACCCACGCCGCCAGAGGGCGTGCCCTCGCGCCGACCCAATCCACTCCTGGCCAATGAACGTCGCCAAACTACTCCCGGGCGCTGGGGCTCTTGGCCAATCAAGAGGGTCACATGACCACGCCGGTCCCGCCTCTCCCGCCTTCTGGCCCGCCCCCGCCACTGAAGGGCAGCGTCTCCTTCCCCGGCGGCGGCGCAATCAAACCCACGCCGCCAGAGGGCGTGCCCTCGCGCCGACCCAATCCACTCCTGGCCAATGAACGTCGCCAAACTACTCCCGGGCGCTGGGGCTCTTGGCCAATCAAGAGGGTCACATGACCACGCCGGTCCCGCCTCTCCCGCCTTCTGGCCCGCCCCCTAAGAGCGGTTGAGGTGCGGAAGTAGTCTCTTCTCTCCTACGATTGGTCCTCAGGATTAGATTGACACCGGCGGCTGAGTGGGGCGGAGCCACTCTAAAAGAGCTGAGGCAGAGCCGTCAGGCCCGCCTCGGATGAGGTTGCTGGACGTCTGGTTGTTAGCGTTTGCCTAATGTGCTGTTGCTGCTTTGCAAGTGAACAAGTCTGTCCAACTCTTCAAGCGCCCCTTTTCAAATATCACCGCCGCTGAGCACTCTGGAGCTGAGGCAGGAGGATCACGGCAAGTTTGAGGCCAGACTGGGCTGCATAGTTCAAAGCTAGGGCTAGGGATTTAGCTCACTGGCACCGCACCTGTCTCGATAGCGCAAGGTCCTGAGTTCAATCCCCGGGATCAAAAAATAAAAATTTTTTAAAAAAAAGTTCAAAGCTAGCTTGAACTATATAGCGAGATCCTGTCTCAAAAAACACAAGGGGCCGGGGATTTGGCTAAGTGGTTTCACCGCTTGCCTTGCAAGCATGAGGCCCAAGTTTGATCCCCGGTACCAAACAAACAAAAACGAACACAAGAGAAAGAAAAATGCCTGACACATAACAGGTGCTCCACAACAGTTATTGACTGTATTTTTTATTAATTAATTTTAAAATTAATTTTATCGGTACATCTAATGTATACAACATGACATTGATAATGTATACAATATATTAATAATGTATACAATATAATGATATTGTTGGAAATTTTTACCTTCACATAATTAACCTGGGTTCTTATTTTTCCCCCATTCCCTGCCCTGCCTTCAACCTCTCCCCTCTCCCTCCCTATCTACAAAGACTTTGTTTCCATTATTTTTCATTTTCTCATATTAATTCCATAATTCCTTTTTTAATCAATGGGAATGAGTGAATGAATGAGTCAACTGTTTTTCTGGCGCTATGATTGGCCCCAGGGCCCGAGCCTTCTGGTGCACATGCGCAGTCCACTCACACCGCCCATAAACGCAGCTTCTGCACTTTTCTTACCAGTTTAGCATCTGGCACCCTTCTCTTTCATATCTCAGGGAAGAAGCAACAGCGGCACAGAAAGGTCATGTCGTTTGCTCAAGGCCACACAGCCAAGGAGGTCATTGCCACAGAATCCAAACTTGAGTCCTGGGTTTCAAGAGCTGCTCTGGGCAGCTTAGTGGTAGAACTTTTGCCTGGTGTGTGTCAGGCCTGGAGTTCCGTCCCCATTACTGTAAAAGAGAGAGTGGGAGAAAGGGTGAGGGGAAGCTGGGCATGGTAGCTACTCCTGTCGTCCCAGCACTTGGGAATCTGAGGCGGGAGGATCGCCATGAGCTCCAGGCCAGACTGGGCAACATAGTGAGTTCAAGGCCAGACTGAACAATGTTGTCTCAGAAAAAAAAAAATGCTAAAGAGGTACATTTTGTTTGTTTGTTTTTTTGAGACAGGGTCTCACTATATAGTTGAGACTGGCCTGGAACTCACTATGTAATCCAGGCTGGTCTCGAACTCACAGCAATCCTCCTGCCTCAGCCTCCCGAGTGCTGGGACTATAGGCGTGCGCCACCACGCCCAGCCCTTAAAGAGGTACATCTGAAATGTCATTACACATATACAAAATGAACAGGTTAGAGAGGTGATTTGACATGTTAATCGGCTCATCTCATTCCACAATGTGAACACACATCAAATCACTGCTTTGGCTGGGTGTGGTGGCACACAGGTCTGTATTTCCAGAATGTGAGAGGCTGGGACAGGAGGATCACAAGTGTGAAGCCAGCTTAGCAATTTAGCAAGATCCAGTCTCAAAACAGTAACAGCAAAATATCAATTTGTATCCCTTAAGTACACACAATTCTTTTTAGTTTAGTTCAGTTTTTGTTTGAGACAGGGTCTCGCTATGTAGTCCAGGCTGGCCTTGAACTCACTATGTACTCTGTGCTGGCCTCAAACTCTTGGTGATCCTTCTGCCTCAGGGATGACAGGTACGCGTCACCACGCCCAGCCCAAATATATAGAATTCTTATTTGCCAATTAAAAATAAAATCAGTAAAAATCTTTAGGAAAACAAAACAAAACAAAAAAAACAACAAGCGAGGCGTGTTGGCGCACGCCTGTCATCCCAGCACCCTGGGAAGCTAAGGATCTCAAATTCTGGCCCAACCTGAGCAACTGAGTGACAGGAGACCTGTCTGAAAACACAAAGTCAAAAAGGGGTGGTGGTGGAGCTCAGTGCAAAACCCCGGGTTCAGTCCCCGGTGCCACCAAAAATTAGAACTCTGGTAAGCGCGCGCAGGTACCTGGAACCCGCGT